CCAAACATCCATACCCTAACCGCCAACCATAGACGTTAGGTACGTTACTATAATTATTAAATATGAAAAGAATTATTTAATTAGTAAATTTATAAAATAACATATTTCCTAAAGTTTCTAAACGCTATTTACTTTGAAAACGCCCCATTCCTGTATGGTTGGTAGTTACTCTTCCAGCAAACCCTTCTTTCTGGAGATATCTTCGAGCTTTTTCAACATTTTCGAGAAAAGTATTTTTTCGATTGGGGCCCTTTACAAACTTGCTCAACTCTTGGCAGTAATTACAAACTCCGACTGGCGTGATTACTTGTTCTGATATTAATTTAAGACTTGTGGTATAAGCCGTAAATGCGTCGTTCGGTTTATTAAGAAGATCCGGTACGGAATACAAAAATTCAGGTATTTCATCGTACCGTTTTACTGGAAGATCAATAAAATGAGTTGCGATTTCTTTAGGATTTTCGTTGAAAGGACTTATATTAGTAAATTTATTTATGAAACCATCAAATTTCTCAACGATATGATATTTACTTTGACGATATAGTGGAGAACCATCTTCAAACACTCCCGATTCTTGTATGGGTGGTAGGCGCATGTTAATAGTTGCAATATTTAAATATTTGGTTTGTTTTATATAAAGTCGGGAACTTTTTTTTTTTTTTTTTTTTTTTTTGTCGTATAAATATGCAAACCAATAGAATGTGCGTTAATAATCGACCAATCAAAACAGAGAATTTTTTTAATTTTTTACCAAATCGGTTAACCAAATTTTAATATTGATATCTTTTTTAACTTAAGATCAAACTCTTCAAAGTCGTTTATTTTTATCATTAAATTTACATCTGGTAATCCATACGTTTTTATTACACGACATTTAGTAATTGTATTCTAAATGAATATTGGCTTTTCTGGTTAAACTTGCAAAATGAAAATTACAAGACCTTCACCTTGAGGGCAACTTTTATCAGATACAATTTTCGGTTGATAAATCTAATGTAAGTTTACAATAAAATGTTTAAAATTTTCTTCTTTAACGAGAAATTTTATTAATTTTCTTCACTTAAAAAACAAAAAGCATTAATTGCAATATATATAGTTAAATAACAGCAAATGCACTTCTTATATTACGGATCCATCAACATCAGAAAAATACAAATAAATTATATATATATAGATTTTGAGATTTAATAGATTGCTATCCAGTCATCTGATTCATATCGTTTGGTATCATTGGAAAGCTTTTCGACGCGCTCTTTCAAACAAGCCTAAACTCGCACATATTTAATCACAGAAAGCGAAGATCTTACGCTTCAAAAAATTAAGTCAGAATTACAGCATATATATTTATATTTATATAATACCTTTTTTTAATTAGGATTTTCTTTACCAACTTTAAGTTCTTGATCAAGGGATTGTGATTTTCAAGAAGTAATGGAAGTCAGTAATAACAATGTTAATGTTGATATGGAAAAAACAAAAGAGAACATGAAATTGATCACCAACAAAAAAATTTTATCAAGCTTCAAAGGTATCAAAAGAAATCATGGAAATTGAAAAAACGAACGTTGAAAAATAAAGACATAACGGATGAAGCAAATTAAGATCGAAAGAAGCATAAAAAGTATACGGATTTTCTTTCATATATATAGACAGAACAGAAGAGTCAAAATACTCATTTTTTCAATGATTAATTCAGAGCAATACATTGTCATCATTTATACTTATAGGAATTTATCTGTATTATGACTAATTTTGAAATACCCGATACTCTGGGAATTTAAGTATGACTCGATCTATCCTGATGGACTAATTGTCTCAGTCAGCAGTATATAGTGACGAGGGTTTAGGTGGATTTCAAACATCAGAAACTGTCATAAGCAAAGGCATTATTGAATTCAAGAATTACGAATAAAGTGATGTCTATGTTCAAAATCATAAGATCAACTGATGTGAGAATTACAAATGTTAATCTTTGCATACAGTTTCCAATATTAAATCAAACAGAAGTTAGTCTCGTTCGTTGGAGAAATATTCGTTGATAGCAATAGTCTCCCAAATAAATATCCATGATAAAGGGGTACGATCACATATACACCGGGCTATTCCTTTACTATAATTTTACAAGGCATTTTTGACTAAGCTTCGTCTTTAGACGACAGAACATTGGGCGTATTATATATTAACACCATCTGTTATAAGTGTAATGACGGAATAAGGATTTTCAGGGAAGTTCATCTAATATACATAAGTTAATGATTTAATCTCGTAACTTTAGAAGCATTGGTCAGTGCGTGTTTGTGGAAATAGGTAAGTGACAAATCGAGCATTGAGATTTTTACGAATCTTTTAATTCAGACTTTATTGAATTTCTTTCACGTTATGTACAGGATTAAACATGGAGCAAAGAATCAGGACCCGCCTTCAAGCAGTATGAATATTATGGTAGGAAAAGTACGTTATTATAATAATATCTGATGACAATTATCGAGCCAAATGTTCTAATTTTTTATGATGTTTTTTACGCTAACATGTAGCGTCGTAGCCATTAGATTTAAATTTACCATCAGGGCATTGACATATATTACCTAATATCGATTTATTATAAACATCTACTCACCCACTGATGATAATAATACAGACCAATGTTTCGTTATAATAATCGCTTTAAAGATTCCTGTTCCTGCTTTTGAAGATACTCTTGAGAAATATCTTAAATCTGTTGGATATTTAGTAAATTTGAGGAATACGCAAAGACCAAGCTGCTATAATAGAATTTCAAAGCCCGCTATGATTGGCAAGGAATTGAGACAGTTGTTGTTAAATTTCAACAATCCCAACATGATTAATTGGTAGGAAGAAAGTTATGTATTTTGATTACAAGTTATCTCTATGAGTTATTTTTTTTTTGCAAATAAAAACAATAATTCTGCCACGCCTGCTGTCTCTCATGATTCGCTTTTCTTTAAATCATTTTTTAATCGTAAAGAACAAGAATATGTAAAGGACTTCTGCTTTGTATGGATTCATAATCTTGACAATTACCATCAGCGACTTTTGATTCAGTGACTAATAATTATATCACTATTATTCTTAAAACAAAATTTTATTCTTGATTTTTAACCAAGGATTGAGTCCAGTCATCAGCTGAATGGTATATAATAATATAACAAAATTTTATTTGTCTCGTTTACTTTTAAAATACATATTTGTAATTCCAATTAAATAAATTTTTTAGTTAAAAAAATTTTTGACAAAAGAAAGATCCAAACTTGGACAGAAATAAGCGCAAAATAATATATTGAGTGATCGTGTTCTAAGCTACGAACCAGATATCCATCAGTAATCTATGTAGAATCAATAATGAATAAATTTATAAATTTTATGTTAAATGGTCAATGAACCGATTTGATTATTGAAAAGATTGAACACCGTGAATTAAATCGTTAAATAAATTCACGACAAGTCATGATTGATAACTTTCTTTTCACAAGGGGCTCATTAAAAACAAATCGCATTATACAATATTCTTTTTTGATGACGTTCTTACCAAAAGTTCATATTAAAAATACAATAAGTTTTCTCTCTGATGATTTCTTTAAAATTAATAATAAATGTAATCTTACCTATTGTAGACTGATCATTAATTACATCAAATATAAGTGTTCGAAGGTGAACGAACGATCAACAAAATACTCTTCTACACAGGTTTTATATATGTATATTATTTCAATAAGGTTCATATTCGTTGGATGATATCATCTAGACTTGGACTCTCTAATAGCTTTATTTGGCATGGTTTCTGTAAATGACCGTAAACTTTATTGATTTTGCCAATTTTCATGATACCTCTGGAATTTCTATCATTAACGACTTCTATTACTTCTTGATATTCATTTGCAAATTTTATTTTCGGTATTCGAATTCGAATTAAGGATTCCTATTTTGCCAGCTAATCTGTAGAACGATAGTAGATGGTTGAACTTTTGCATCCATGACATCAAATCCGATGATGTACCCAATCTACCTAATCTTTTGTAATCTTTACTTGTTTGACTTCGAATTCTGTATTATTCTGTAAAGACTCTTTTGTCAACAATAATCTCCTAGAAAAAAAACAGTAATAGATCCGAGTTTCCTATATAAATTTTGGTTTTGCTTATTCGTTGCATCATCTAGTTAGAAGTCGTAAAAATGTAGCAAGTCGCCATCAAAAAGGAGAAAATTAATGCTGACGTTAACGAGTTCCCTAGCCTCGGATAGGTCTGATAAAGCAGGTGCTTGAAGGTCATTATTTGTTTCAACAAAACAACATATCTCCATTGTGTCCTTTTTCTAGATAAGATAATGAAAGCCATCTAAATATAAATAATTTGATATTACTAATCTAAGTAATAACAAACTTCATTAAACCAAGTATAAGAATTTTTTCAGTACCTTTAATTAGATGGATCCATAACATAAGAAACGCATGTTATTTATAAGCAAATAATGTGAATTAATGGCAATTTTTCTTTTTGTAAAGAAAATTAAATAAATCTTCTCGTTAAAAAGAAATATTCTAAACACTTTATTATAAACTTACATTAGAATCCTCAAACCGGAAGATTGTATTCTGGTAAAGATTTCCCTTTTACGTAAATATCTTGTAAATACATTTTGTTCTGCGTATCAATGAAAGACATAAAAGACGCGTCAAAAATCTTAATTCCTAAAAAAAAGATCGGCGATCTAAAATTAGAACGATATGCATTTTAAAATTGGACTCGTTTTTTTTCTAAAAATAATTTGATAAACGCCTCTTGCCGTCTCAACAGATAAACCAGCTAATTAATATTACAAACATAATTTAACTGATCACAATAATATGCTATTAACCATACAAGAATTGGGCGTGTTCGAAGATAGTCCTCCACTATATCGTCAAAGTAAATAGCGTTGAGAAGCTTAAGGCATTATGATTGTTGTTTAACTAATGAATATATATATTTTTCTTTTCACAATAATAATTATAGTATCTAACCTAACGTCTTTTGTTGATGAATATACGGATACCAACCATACAGGAATTGGGAGTCAAAGTAAATAACGTTGAGAAACTTAAGAAATTATGATAGTTTAATAAATTTACTAATTAAATAATTTTTTTTTCACATTTAATAATTAATAGTATTTGATTTGATGTCTATGAATATTAGGCCAATTTATTTTTTGGATAATCATTTTGTTTATCAGAAAGGAATTCCCGGCAGTCGTCATTATATTCTCGCGGAAACATTGACGAGATCAACCGGCGAAGGGTGGATTTAGTGTTGGAATTAATATTGATTTTGAATGAGTTCTAGTAGTGAGTTTATTTTATTTTGTGAGGGTATAAATATTTGTTTGTAGACGCGAAAATGTGTAAACAATCAGTATTATATAAAGCTGGAGAAAATCAATTTGACGAAGAGGAAGCTTTAGCTCCTTGTGGCGCGTGATGACATTAGGAGGGGAATTTAATCGAATAATCTGGCGCGATGAGTGGCGGTGGACGTAAAATATCTAAAAGGGCTATGAACTCGAGATTTACGTCCGAGAAACATCCGAACAATAGCGAAAGTTCATTTTGAATTATCATGACACATTGGTGGTGTTAAAAAAAATTGTAGCTCATGTAAAAAACTAAACAACAAAAATCAATTCTGATTTAATATAAAATTAAATTAGCTTTTATTAATTTAGTTAACAGATTTTACTTATACTTTTATAATATATATATCTATTACTTTAATTTCAGTTAAAAAATTTAATAAAATCAAAATAAAATTAATAATTAAAGTTACGTGATTTTATTAACAAATGCGAGTCATCTAACGACTGTTCTTGACGAGACTTAAAAACATGAGGACTTCCACTATTGTTTTGAAATGACGGCAATCGAGACGAAACCTACGGAAAATACATCATATTACGCTTGATGAACTATCATTGGTCATCATGGTCCTATTTATTTTGCGGCACCATTAGAACATTCAGAGGTTATTACGGCAGGCCGAACTACCCCAAAATCACAATGTTCCCTTACCGACGGGACGAACATTACTTCAACCGAGTAATTACTCATCACGGAACATAATCAAAGAAACGATCTCGATTATCATACGAACCGGTGACATTTACTTTCACCAATCGCTTGCCAACCCTTGTTCGTAAGGTTAAACATGACCGAAGGTTATACTAGGCAATATCAACAACGGGGACACAACCATTATTAAAACCAGAACCAACAGGATTTGGAATTATCACCTTCGATTCCAAAACAAAGGAACACACACACTTACATCACAACTGCTATTGGACTTCCAAAATCAATCGAAGAAATCAATTTCAACGACGTTATCCGCTCAAAGGCTCCGACCCCTTTATACGAACCGGAACTCTACGCCTCCGTCGTTGCTGATAGATACACACTTGTAATTCGAAGTGTCAAGGACCACCGCCGGTAAAAGGTTTTCCTCGTTCTCTAAATACTACGAAGTCGGAAACTGTTACTACATCTACAGTTGCCGTAACGATCAAGAATCTTGGGTTTGTCCCGTATCACTGGAACGTCCACATGAACGTTCCGACAAAGGTTTCGCGCGATATATGTCAAGTACATCACCAAGAGAACCGTCTCATATCTTCAACATCTACGAAAACGACTCGTCGCGAGAGCACGTTGTCGCGAGAATATTAGTATCGATGATGCTGATGTTCTTCCTACTCGATCATTCTGTGTAATTCTTCGATCACAGCGAAGTTTCAATACGGATCCCCATATTATAAGAACTCGTACGATCCTCCTAGCATACCTGATCGAAGAAAATGTAGACAACCCATTTTATGACAACACTGTAATGGAGTACATGTCACGACTTCATTCATACGAATTCGACAATCTTATCTACCCGAGTATTTCGATAGATACACGATCGCTCCATCATGACTTCTCGACAAGGTTTCCCGCGATGATATTTCGATAAACACGTTCATCACCAGATATCGATTTGATCGATTTCCAATTATGAATTGGCCGACTGAAAACCAACCTATTACTGAGATTTTGTATAGGCTACTAAAATAATTAAGACAGGTTGCTTTCCGCGAATATATAATTATACAATTGCAATTAGAACCTAAAAATCATATCATGCTCGAATTTATTACCGCTTTGTAGATCATTTATAATTGAATCAGTGGAATCGAAATCTTGGCCAATTTTATACTAGATCAATTCATTCCACTAATTTTTTAACGATACCATTACCAATGGCCCATACGCCACTTTACAACCAGCAAAGAATGTTCTTGTCCGAAAAACCTGAAGAGATGGTCCATGATTTCCAAGAAGTTACTTGATTTTCAAATCCTGCTTGGCCAATGTTTTATCCGCTATTTTTGAAACAAACCGACGACATTACAATGACCTCACCTTCTAGATCCTATAATAAGTTCGTACCGTCCAGAAACATGGAATACTTTAAAAGAACGACACCTCCAATTTCTGACCGTCCATCGACATCTCCTAAATACCACGCACATCGTAGAGTTTAGAATAGGTAAACAGAATGGTCTGTAACACCCTTCCTGTATCCGAAAATGGCTTCTTGATTTCGCAAGCCTCGATTCCGTGAACTCTCTACAATAGGACAACTCCAACAAGATATTTAACTGAAGACGAACTTACCTAACTGTGTCCGACTCCAGCAAGGTGCCCGTGTCATGAACCTCAATAATTCGCTCATGGAATAATGAATATGTAATAGTTCCGAGTAGAATTCACCGTGAAAGATTCCATAATATACATCGATTTCTACAATACTTAAGAGTTA